CCCCCCCATTTTTTCCCCCCCCCCCCCCCCCGGGGGGGGGAAGTTCCGGCGGGGCCCCGGGCCCCCCCCTGGGGGGGCCCCCCAGGTTTTCCCCAAAAAGGGGGGGAATCCTTTTAAAACCCCCCCCCGAAAAACCCCCCTTTTTTTTTCCCCCCCCCCTTTTGCCTCCCCCCCCCCCCCCCCCGGCGGGGCTTGGGGGGACCCTTAAGAACCCCGGGGAGGGGCTGCCCTGGGGACCCAGACCCATACGGCGTACGCACGGGCCGCGCTAGCGCTACTCTGAGCTGAAGCAAATACACCCTGGCCCGAGGGTCATGTTTTTTTTTGAAGACGACGTCTTTTTTTGTTTATAAAAGTCAGGCTTCAGTCCGGCTCCTCTTTTTTTTTCCGCCAACAGAAAAACGGCCTCAGTGAAACGACCGGGGAGTGACATTTTGTAACCAGCCAGCCTCAAATTTATACGGCCAATGGGAGGGGCTTCCGGCAGTGCCGCCCGCGGGCGCTCAGGCAACGCACCAGAGCGACGGTAGCCCCAGCCAATGAGCAGAGCGACCGTGGGTGCTTTCTGGCTACACGCGTTCCCGAGGGCCAACCGGGATGCGCAGGCGTCGTTAGGCGGACGCACCGGTTGCTGGGAGGCCGACAGCTGAGGCTCCTTGGGAAGGAAGTCACGTGAGTGCGCGCCGCGCTTCCCTCGGAGCCCCCGCCTCTTCTCGGGCTCCTCCAGCCCCGCCCTGCCGAGCTGCCAACGCGGAGGAGCCGCCTCCTGCAGGTCTCGGCGAGGAGAGTTGCTGTTTAAGGCAGCTTTGGCAGAGATCTGAAGAGGTTAGAAGAAATTCTAAAAGAAAGATACAGGCTGAGCCACCGATTCCTTTCAGTTTAAAGAAACTCAGGCCAGGAAAGGAGCGAGGGTCAAAGTTAATTGTAAAAATCCGTCTTTCAATTCTTGGCTTCATTGTTTAATCATTTAGAAACATCTCCCATGTATATCTTTTTATGTAACCAGAGACTGCTTTCTGGAGGAGCTGGCATTTAGAGTGGGCATCGAAGATCAGAGGGATTTAGACAGGTATGAGTGCAAGGGCGTTCAGGATGGAGGAGCCGTTCTCAGAACCACCGGGGACATGCCTCCTGACCAACACCTTTCTCCGGGCAGCCTTCTCCAGCTCTAAGATGATAGGGTCCTGAAAATAAGGCCTCCTTACTCCAACTTGCAACACCTGCACCATAGATACGTTATATTTAAATGTGTACTTTTTACACCCAACCCAAAAAGTATAGGCGTAGCCATAACAATGCTCACGGAGGGTGTTCTAACAGCACAGTGGCTCCCAGCTTTCTCACTAAAATGAAGATAAACACCCCTGATCCAACAGAATTGTCCCGAGGTTGAGACAGATAAGACCTCTAAAGATACTTAACACAATGCCACATGGTACTCGTTCAACAAATGCTGACTATTACCATAATTGTACCGCTGTTTTTTTTTTTAGGTGAAGGCTACTTTTATTAAATGACTGAACCATGCAATTGCCAAGGCCACTGTGTACAGGGACGAGAGGGGGAGCTTTGTTTCTTGGTCTCTTCCTCCTTGGACAGCGTCCTGAGGATCTCCTCCTCCTTGGCCTGGAGCCGCTCTTCACGCCTGCGGGCTTCCTCGGTCTCAGACCTGCGGGCCTCGGCCTGGTCAGCCAGAAGCTTCTAGCTAGCCTTGTCTGCCTTCAGCCTGCGGCTGTGTCCACGAGAATCCGCTTGTTTTTCAACACGTTGCCCTTCACTTTCAGGTACAGGCTGTGGTACAGGTGGCGGTCACTCTTCTTAGATTCACGGTATCTTCTGAGCCGGCGAAGAATTCTCATCCTCCTCACCCAGGTTCCTCTCTCAGGCATTCGAGCATTGGCAGTGCCCTTCGCTTACCTATGCCCATATGCCTGCCCTTCCTGCGGGCCCAGGTGGACAGTCACAGGCTTCCGGATGATCAGCCCATCTTTGGTCAGCTTCCGAATCTGCTGGCGGGAGTTGGCATTGGCGATTTCATGGGTCTCATTGGGGTCCGAGCAGACCTTTTTGCCGCAGCGGAGGACACTGGAGGTAAGCCTCTCCCGAAGCGCGAGCATACTCATGGCGAAAGGAAAGGACTGTACCACTTTTTTCTTCTGTGCTATAATCGGTGATTACGTTTAAGCCTTCTCACTTCTGCCCGAAGTCTAATACAGCCCTTTGACCATCTGGCTAACTATATAGCATGATGGTTTGTTGCTTTTCATAACCTATGGTTATATCTTGTTCTCTTTAGTACTTTTAGGAATTAACAGTATAATTTTGAGACATTTCAAAGAATATACAAGCTTTATAAATGTGCCTTCTTGGGTTATAAGTTTGTTTTCTCTTTTTTAATTGAATTGTATATTCCTGGAATCCACACAGCTTCCCTTGATAACTAGAAACTATTGACAGTTAAAGGTTGTGTCCTCAGACACTTCAATCAAGCCAACCTCTTCTAGATTTGTAACTTCTATGTCAAATTTAGAAATAGAGTTGGCCATTTCTACGTTTAATTGCATTCCTGATGCATAATCTGTATATACAATAACTTATTGTTTCAGTGCTTCAACACAGAGTAACCTTTTGGAAGATGCCTATAGTGACACTTTGAGACTCAAATTAAAATTCAACTGCAAGTAAGTCAGTCAGCGAAAGATAAATATCACATCATCTCACTCATTTGTGGAATATGATGAACAACATAAACTGATGAACAAAAACAGATCCAGAGACAGAGAAGCATCGATCAGACCGTCAAACCTCATAGGGAAGGCAGGGGAGGGTGGGGGTAAGGGGGAGAGATCAACCAAAGGACTTGTATGCATGCATATAAGCATAACCAATGAACACAGATACTAGGGGGGTGAGGACACGAGCTGGGGGGAGGGGGATTGGGGGGTAAGGACACATGTAATACCTTAATCAATAAAGAAAAAAATAAAATAAAATTCAACTGCATGACACCATCAGTGCAAATAACTAAGCTGATTATCAAATCAACATTTTTCTGTGGATGGCTAAATTTACAAATACCCATTTAATGATAGCAATTTCACAATTTTTTTTTCACTGCCCCATGGTAAAGCAAGCATTATAGGGTGTCAATGGTAATATAATGTCCCAAATTAAGAAATATTGTCCTGGCTGGGTGGCTCAGTTGGTTGGAGCGTCATCCCGTACGCAAAATATTGCGGGTTTGATTCGGTCAGGGCACGTGCCCAGGTTTCATGTTCAATCCCCAGTAGGGGTGTGTATAGGAGGCAACCAATTGATGTCTCTCTCTTTCTTTCATTCTCACTCTCCCTATCTAAAATCAATAAAAACATATCCTCTGGTGAGGATTTAAAAAAAAGAAGAAATATTAAAAGTGGAGTAGGGTGAGAATCCCAAAATGTCACAGGTCATAAAAACAAGTTTCAGAGTCACTGTGCGACTTCTGCTATCTATTTCTTGATGTATCCTTTTAACCTATGCTCCTGTAGCTTATCACTTTTAATCTGTCTCCCAATCCCCAGATCCCGGGAGAAAAATCTGATTAACCCAGCTCATTTTTTTTTCCATGACAAGTCACTGGAATTGATCATTTGCACAGGAATGGGGGTAAGGATGGGGGCTGTAGGACAGCTGACTGGTAGACAAGGCAGTTTCCCTAAGAGAGGATGTTGATGGCTGGACCCCATAAAACACAGCTATTAAACTTTCACATACATCCAGGACTTTGGCCTCTGACTCAGTCCTCCACCCCAACTCCTACCATTAGCTAAGGTGATTTCCACCTTCACTTGTTCTTTATTCAATAATATCCACTGAGCATATACTCTGGCCAGACCCGACAGTAGGTTCCAAGGTTTATAAGTGAAATAAATGGTATTTCCTATCTAGAGCTTTCAAACCAAAGGAGGAAACACATGATAAATTCCGAGTCAGGAGTGTGCACAGGGAGCTGTCATACTTTGGGGAAAGAAATGGGGTTCTCATGTCTCTGGAAATATAAGGAATCTTGAAAAAGTAAGATCCAACAGAAGGTGAGGAAGCTCTTTCCAAGGACCTTTAATCACAGTGAACTATATGACTAAAGAGGTAAACAGTGACCAGATAGAAAGGACCTCGCCTGCCATGCTAAGGAATTTGTATCTTAAGGCAATGGGAAAACATGAGAACGATTTAAGCCTGGAAGTGCCATGCTCTAATTGGAATTTGAAGGAGAGTGGGGCAACCGGGTGGGGCTGTCTGGACTGAGATTAAACGCTCTAAGCAATTTTGAGGTTCTCAGGCAAGGCAATTTTGATCAAGAGATAGTTAAGAAATACAACTGAAAAAAAATCTGATGGCCAACTGAATGTGATGACAGAAAAGGAAAAAAGACTAAACTTTATGGTAACTCCATGTTTCAGATTTGGGTGACTGGTGAGAGGTGGAAGGTGGTACCATTCAAATAAAGAAAACATTTACTACTATCTCTGTGTCTCCAAGTATGTCACTTTGGGAAGTCCTTAAATGTTCCTGCCCTAAACCTAGTCTCACCCAGAACATTCATGCACAAGCTCCACCTTGAATGTTTCCCGCTGTCTCACCCCCACACATTCACTTCACATCTCCAAACCCCCAGGACTCTTTATCTCCCAGGCTTGTTGGTATCTGCCTGTCTTGCCTTCCTCCACCACTTCAACAACACTCTTAACGATGCCTCCATACCCCTCCCCAGGTCGTTCCCTGGCAATGTCACATATCCAGAACTGGGTCAACCCAGATGTTCCTCACTCCTAGTCGATGGGCAATACCAGAGACAGTTTATATCTTAAAGCATTTGGAGTCATTGGAAAATTTCCAGCAGGAGAGTGTGATGTGATCTGATTCATATTTTATTTTTTTAAATATATTTTATTGATTTTTTACAGAGAGGAAGGGAGAGGGATAGAGAGTTAGAAACATTGATGAGAGAGAAACATCGATCATCTGCCTCCTGCACACTCCCCACTGGGGATGTGCCCGCAACCAAGGTACATACCCTTGACTGGAATCGAACCTGGGACCCTTGAGTCCGCAGGCCGATGCTCTATCCACTGAGCCAAACCAGTTAGGGCTGATTTATATTTTAAAGGGGGCTGGATAGGCAAGAATTGAAGGCTTTTACGGCTGAGACTATGTATCACTGCATTCAGTGATACAAGACCTGGGTGCTACATAGGATTTTCAGTTGTCTTTGTATTATTTATCTGTGGCCAGATCTCTAGTGCACTAGAACAATAGCTATTTGCTACACAGTCTGTGCCCCTGCCCTCTCGTGATTTGTAGATAATTTTGACTCTTCACTAAGAAAATAGGAGTCAGTAGGTAGGAACACTCTTTTTAGCCCCAACTCCCATACTCATTTATATTCTTCCTTACCCACCCATCTCAGAGGAAAATTCATTTCACCCTTGTTCTCTGGACTTCACCTTCCATTCTCTGAGAATGGCTCTATCAGTTATCCACTCTGCATCCTCAACTTGTATCTCAACTGACCTTTCTGTTCTCTTTGAAGAAAAGAGAAAGAAATAACAGCAAAAGGGATAAGAGAAACTATTTGAGTAAGGCAAAATGGGGAGGGGGGAGTAGAGGGGAGTAGGTTGATGATAAGATAGGATGGTTTCACTCAGAACCAATGGCGGACTATCCATGTACCTTGAGAAGGCTTTAGAAACAGCGCCCGTGAAGCCTGGATGCTCTCGCCTGTCCTTTCCACACATCTGCTTTGTTCTTCTGCACACATGAAGCTCATTTCCTCTCCCTCTCCAGGCTCAGCTCCCAAAAGTAACCAACCAACAGGAGGGAAAGGGTTTCACTCTTGACCCAAATACTAAATGTCTTGGGGGAAGCATTGGCCCAACTTGGATGACGTACTCCTGCAGAGCCAAGCAACTGTAGCCAAGGGATCAGCCATCTACAAACATAGCTTCCAGAAGCCTGCTTTCATGGCCATGTGGATGGGGGATCAGTTAGCAAGAAAGGAGAACTTAGGAGCTGGATAAATTCCCCTTTGGCTATTGCCAAATCCATCTCCCTCCATTGCTTTCTATCTCAGACTCTTCAGAGCATCGTCTCCACATTTCCTCCTCTTATTCATTTCACTGTCCACTGCATTCTATTCTCCCCTCCCTACCCAGCCCCATCAACTGTTTTCAATAAGGTCACTTTCCAATTG